TTGTCTCTAGAAGAACAACATCTGGCATATTCTTTGCTGAATTCCAAAACATAAAGCAATTTACTAATATTTTTTTTTCACCCCGACCAGATTCATCTGCCATAATTCTGAATGCAAAATGAACTGATTGATTAGTTGGTTGAAATATGTTTCTCATATGCAACTCTGATATCTCGCGATACCAACGACTAATGGTTGCTGCAGAATCCAAGATTGTGTATTATCTCCTGTTAAAAAATTAAAAATGGTTTTCATATTAGTTGTTGCAGTAGTAAGAGACATTTGGCTGATTTGAAAAATCCACGTGGTAAGTTTAATAAACTCTGTATTATTATTTTTTTAACAAGATTATTAATCGTGGTTTTAATATTATTGTCCGGTGGACGTCTGGCTATTGCACGAACTCGAGATATATGTTGGTGATGTTTGTGTTTCAATTGTGCAATAGAACCATTAAGTTTTTGAGCTTTACAAGTTACACAGTTTTTAGATTGTTGTAATTTATGAAGAACTTGTCTAAGTTATTTGTTATGATGACTTAATGCATCTAACATTCTTTCAGGTTTATAAAGGGAATCAGATATATATTGAAATGCTTTTTTTTGAATATAGGGTGACACAATTTGATTTTTATTTTTTTCATGAGAATATCTCATCGTACATAGAAGATGAGATGCTAATTTAAGATCCGCTTCAGACATGTCTTTAAGAGTATTAACTATTGAATTATATGCAAGAGAATCTAATATAATAGTGTTCGAGGCATTAAAGATCATGTCATGTATTATTTTAAGTTCTTGAATAGTGATTTTTTTTAAATGATTTGTTATTTCATTGACAAGTTTTTCACGCAAATTTAGATCATGCTTTTTGGTGAGTGATTCAAGTGCATTTTTTAGTTGCAATTTACATTTTGAAGGAGATATTTTTCAAAATTAAAGATTCAATTTAATTAATAAAAATTATAATATGCGAGTGGAATAACATAATTATGTTATTTTCATTTAGTCTAGGTTATTTTCACTCAGATATGTGTCATGATTAAGGATGCTTGCCGAAATCTTTTTAATAAATGCTGAAATGCCAAAATTCTTATTATAAGTAGTAATTACTATTGTC